GACTCTCAGGCGTGGCACACGCGCACACGTGTCAAGGGTTCTGTGTGTGTCAGTGTGTGTGTGTCGGCCTTCGTAGGTGCTCGCCAACAGCACTTGCCCCAACAGTATGTTAGGGCTATACGAGGGATCTTTGTCGTTGTTTTGTGTGTCGGTGTGGGGAGCGGTGGCGCAACAATTATCGCACTGCACTTCGAACGCGGCGACCCGAGTTCAACTACCGCTCACGGCCAACACCGGTGACCAATATCTGAACCAGTCTTGAGCTTCCCTTAGGTCGACTCAGCCTTTAAATTAGTACCTTGTGCGTTAAGGCTATATGGGGGGAGCTTTGTCTTTGTGTGTTAGTGTGTGTGACACGTGTCACGCGTTCAGTGTGTGTGACACATGTCAGGGGGTTCAGTGTGTCAGTGTGTGTGTGTCAGGAAAGGTCCTGGCAAGGATTAGTCAACATTGCCTTGCCAGGCACGCTGAGGAGAGGCTTGCGGAGCCCCAATGTGGTTTGAGGAAGGGGCGGTCCTGCACAGACACCATATTTTCTGTCCGTCTGCAACAGCAGAGGTGTAGTGAATTCCAGCAAGACCTACATCTCTGCTTTATTGACCTGGTCAAGGCCTATGATACCATCAGTAGGCCTGGGCTGTTGGTTGTTCTTCGTGCTTTCGGAGTCCCTGACTCTCTGCTCACGATCATTAAGGACCTTTATGATGGTGAGCAGGCTCGGATAAAACTACGTGCTTGGGAGTCGGAGCCATTCTCTGTTCACCTTGGGGTGCGACAGGGATGTCCTCTGGCTCCCACATTATTTAACATCTCTTTCGACCACGTAGTTCGTGAAGCCTTTGATGGCCGTACCAGAGGAATTTCCATCTGGTACAGAAACAATGGAAGGCTGATCGATGCCCGGTGCGGTCAAGGGATGGCTCCCTATTGGTCAACCACGTTATGTATGCCGATGATTTGGTCATTGCCGCTCATTCAGAGGAGGAGTTGGAGGCGCTGCTGTTGAAACTGGAGCGTGCTACTAAGAGGTGGGGCCTTACCATCAGCCTCACCAAAACTAAACACCTGCCTGGGTATTTTGTACCATCGGGCACTCCACCCCCACAACTCCCAATCGGTGATGGGGTAGTTGTGGAAAGAGTGGAGAGTTTCCCATACCTGGGCAGTGTGCTTATGACCGCCTCCGGTTTGACAGCAGAGGGCTCACTCAGAATCAGTCGAGCGGCATTATCTTTTCATCGGTTGCGTAACGCTGTGTGGAAGCTACCTGGTCTGTCGCTCCGCACTAAGCTTCAGGTCTTCTCAGCCACGGTCATTCCCTCCCTTCTCTACGCTTGCGAAACGTGGACCCCCCTCATGGTGCATCTTCGCCGATTGGAAACATTTAGGCTGGCCTGCCTACGATCCATCCTGGGTTTAACCAGGCTGGATTGTGTGAGGAGCTCATAAATCCTTGAACGATCTGGGCAAAGTCCCATCGGTGAGCTCCTCCGGCAGGCAAGGCTGCGTTGGCTAGGTCACGTAGCCCGCATGCCCAGTCACCGCATGCCTAAACAGCTTTTGTTTGGCCGGATAGAGGGGGCTAAACGGGGGCAGCATGGCTGTGAGAAGAGATGGAGTGATGTGGTACAGGAGGATGTGGAGCTGAGTGGACTTGCCGATGACTGGTACTAGCGGTGTCAAAATCGGCCTCTGGAGGAGGCTTGTGAAGGACGCTACTGGGCAGTTGGAGGCAGTCGTCCTCCAACAACAACGGAGGGCAGAGGAGCGACGCTCACAACAACGAGTGGAGCGCCGGGTGGCTAAAGCACAGCAAGTTGGCACAGTAGGGGGCACAGGTGGTGCATCAGCCAGTCATCTCAGTTAGTCGACCTGTGGCACCTGGGTCTGCCCCGTGACCTCCTGCCAGCGGGTGTTCGACACTTCACGTGGCCTCAAGGTGCACATAGCCTGGCGTGGTGACGTCACCACCACTTAGTGGCAAATGGCGGTTGTTGTTGTGTCAGTGTGTATGACACATGCCACGGGGTTCAGTGTGTCAGCGAGTGTGTCACTGTGTATGACACATGCCACGGGGTTCAGTGTGTCAGCGAGTGTGTCAGTGTGTGTGATATGTCACGGGGTTCAGTGTGTCAGCGAGTGTGTCAGTGTGTCAGCGAGTGTGTCAGTGTGTGTGACACATGTCACGGGGTTCAGTGTGTCAGCGAGTGTGTCAGTGTGTGTGACACATGTCACGGGGTTCAGTGTGTCAGCGAGTGTGTCAGTGTGTGTGACACATGCCACGGGTTTCTGTGTGTCAGCGAGTGTGTCAGTGTGTGTGACACATGTCACGGGGTTCAGTGTGTCAGTGTGTGTGTCAGTGTGTCAGCGAGTGTGTCAGTGTGTGTGACACATGTCACGGGGTTCAGTGTGTCAGCGAGTGCGCCACGGTAATCCATCTGCAGGGCGCCCTGCTGCAGGAGGCTAAAATGCAGCGGGAGGAGGGAGCAGTGTGGGTTTTGCTGTCAATCACGGCCCGGTCACTCAAGAGAGTCGCGCGCGAGTCGTAGCCGCGGCTCCCTCGCCGTGGGCGCGAGGGGAGGTGGGGAGGAGCCGGAGCGTGAGCCGTGGGGAGCCGTGGGGAGCCGTGGGGAGCCGTGGGGAGCCGTGGAGCCACGATTATCCTTGGGAACAATCCCCCTTCCTCCCCAGCCGGGCCTGTCAGTGACTGCTGTGCGTGGTGTCGCTGCGTGTGGACCAAAGTCCAGGCGCCGCGTTGATGATGATGATGGTGGCTACTGCTCGCTGGACTTGCCCCATCCGGAGGTCGCAGGGTTCACTGCGGCTGTACACACGGGTTCACCGCGGCTGTACACACGGGTTCACCACGGCTGTACAGATGGGTTCACCGCGGCTGTACAGACGGGTTCACCGCGGCTGTACACACGGGTTCACCGCGGCTGTACAGACGAGTTCATCACGACTTTACAGATGGGTTCATCACGACTTTACAGATGGGTTCATCACGACTTTACAGATGGGTTCATCACGACTTTACAGATGGGTTCATCACGACTTTACAGATGGGTTCATCACGACTTTACAGATGGGTTCATCACGACATTAGAGATGGGTTCATCACGACTTTACAGACGGGTTCATCGCAACTGTACGGACGGGTTCACCGCGGCTGTACACACGGGTTCACCGCGGCTGTACACACGGGTTCACCGCGGCTGTACGGGCGGGTTCACCGCGGCTGTACAGACGGGTTCACCGCAGCTAGCCGACCGACGGCAGGTCGCGCGTGGTGGGGCACAGTGTGGGTAACTAACGCCCACCCCTTCCTAGAAGTGTAGCCATTGTGGATGAGTGGACCACGCACACACACGGTAGTGGTGAACTCTTAAATTGGTGTTGTGTGCGTGCGTCGTCAACCCTCCTCCACCCGATGCGGCCCATTCATAAAGTTGCCACTTGATGAACACACACGGCCAATTTATTACCGGCTCAGCAGCAGTGGCAGTCGCAGCCTTGGTGCGTTGTGCGAGAGCGATCCGCACAACATTGAACAACTGGCTAGTCGGACGTTTCGCCCGTCATCACGGTCAGCATCATCAGGCTCTACAGAGGTCCCCCAACTAACTAACTCTAAACTATCTTTTTATTTGACCAGTTAAGGCCCACTGAGCTATACAGCTCTTTTTTCAGAAGCGACCTGGCCACAAGTGATAGCCCAACGAAGTGGCTTACCACGTGTAAAGTTATAGTAGCAGCCAAATACTCTAAGCGCGTGTTTCTAAAATGTCGAGGGAAAAAATATCCACGTGACCACGGGGAGAACGTGCCAACTCCAAATATACAGCAGCAGGCGTCAGGGGTCGGAATCGAACCCACGACCTTCTGCATACCAGGTGAGGTAGTGAATATCTCCTAGCCACTGTGAAAGCACTTACTAGCGGTGGCGAGCGTTGGCAATTGCAGGGGCTACGCCTTTATGATTCGCCAAATACCACACGTGGGATTGAGGGCAGGTGGCCACGAATCTGTTGGAGGTGACATTCGCGACGATGATGATTACAGGGGCACAGTGCCTGGTTGAGATAAGTTGGACCTGAGTGGAAATGACTCAGCTAGGAGCACGCAGCAGCAGCAGCAGGCATCGCCCCCTACTGGCATCAGACCGATGCCCAATTGCAGGCTGCTGCGGGAGTCCCCGTGTGCTCCACAGGGCCTGCTGGGGGTGGGGGTCTTGGAAGGCGCTTTGAGTTGCTGAGGCATAGAAGTGAGCACCCTGCACGTGATGGTGATGATGGTGACGGTGATTATGGTGAAGATGATGACAGTGATGATGATGACAATGATGATAACAGTGATGATGGTGATGATTGTGATTGATGGTGACAGTGATTATAGCGCTCATGGTGATGATGATGACAGTGATGGTGAAGGTGATTATGGTGAAGATGGTGACGATGTTCACAGCGATGATGGTGAAGGTGATGATGATGATGACAGTGATGATGGTGATGACTGTGGGCTAAGGTGCTGGTAGCGACAGATGGAGATCCCTAGCAGGGAGATTCACATTGGGGCTCGCCCCTGTGCGTGCGCCCCCATATGTCTGTAGGTTGAACTTCTTTTGCACCGTACGTAGCCAACTGTGCTAATCGGGGGTGTGGGGGAAGGACAGCAAACTAAACACAAAGAGCAGTTCTAAAGAAATCATTCTGTCACGCTAGATGATGATTTAAAACAGCAGAGCTGCCAGTGGCTTCCTAATATCGGAAGGAAGAGCGTTCCAGACGGCCGCAGCAGCGCACCTGAAAGCGCGCGATGCAGTGACCATCCGTCTTTGTTCGAGCCAAAAAGCCGCCGCTGCTGCGAGGATTCGTGCGTGCAACCTCGTGGGCCCTCGCAGGCCCTTGGGCCATCAGTTCCGCACTCGTGAAGGCAGCGCCCAGAGTGTGCCATCGCCCCTCCACTCTCTAACCACGTGTGCTGCCCTGCCCCTGCCTCAGGCTCTCGAGGCCTCCCAACGTGACGATGGAGACGGCAGCGGCAGAGTGGGCGCGGAGCTGAGGGCCTCCGCGAACCCCAAGAGCCTCAAGGGGACCCCGGGAGCCCCGGGGCTCAAGGGGTCTGCGCCTCCTCCTTCGGCCGCTCCCCCTGGGCCCCCCGACCCGCCCTCCATGCGGCTGTTCCGCTCCGAGAGCGGGGGACGACGTCGCGACCCGCACCCCTCCGCCGCCTCCGCCTCCGCCTCGTCGTCCTCCGCCTCGTCGTCGTGGTCTCCTGGTAAGGGTGCGGTGGGGGGCTGGCCGTGGGCCCTCTTCACGTCACCGAGGAAGCGCTCCCCGGCCGTCGGCGGGGAGGCGAGCCCGGGGGCCGCGGGGCCTCCCACGGGAGGCGGCGATGACGGCGGCGGTGGCGACGAGGGCAACGACGAAGATAACGAGGATAACGAGGAGGAGCTGGCGGGGGGCGTCCGGCGTTCCCAGAGCGTACGCCGCGCGTGCCTCCTGAGGCCTTCGCCGGGCCCCGGGGAGAGGGAGGAGGAGGAGGAGGGGGCCCGACCGTCGCCCCGCGCCGCCCCGTACCGCCGCAGTCACAGCACGGACGCCGCGGGGGCCCTCCCCCACGGCGGGGCCCGTTCGGCGCAGAGGGCCCGCGCGTTCTTCCGGAGGGGAGCGCGGGCCCCGAAGGAGGGAGCCCTGGGACCCCCGGGCGGGGAGGGAGAAGGTGCCGCGGAGTTGCGGCTGCGCGGGGCCCGCGAGAGGGACGTGCATGGCGAGTACTCAAGCCGGGCCTCCTGGAGGGTGTCGGGGCCCCCGGGGACCCTTTTTGACGGGGGAGGGACCGACGAGAGCTGGGGGGTCGTGGCTCCTGGGGTCGCGGTCACCCAGGGGACCGAGGGGACCGCAAGGAGCGTGGCGGCGCTGAGGGAGCCGCGGTCCCACGGTCACGGGGGTCACGGCGGAGTCTCGCCGAGCCCCCCCCTCCACCTCCCTGGGCCCCCTCGCTCGCACGAGCCCCCCGTGTGCCCCTGTGCCCCTTTCCTCGTCCACCCTCCTCAGGGCCCACTCGCCCCGCTCAACGAGTCGCCCCCTACACCACCATCACCAACAACGGTCACCGCCACTCACACTGATACAGCTACAGCTGTTACAGCTGCCACAGCTACAGGCACTGCTGCAGGTGATAATAACTCTGCTGATAGTGGTACCGCAGCAGTCCTGCCTCTAGCACAAACAGTTAGCGCACAACCACACACACAGCCACACACACAGCCACACACACAGCCACACACACAGCCACACACACAGCCACACACACAGCCAGAGACTTCAACACAACTACACATACCAAAGGAACTACGGCCACAAACACACACACCAACACAACCGTGCATACCGATACCACCACCACCACACACACAGCCACACACACCACCACACACACACGCGCTGACCTCAACTCCTACACAACCACAACCGCATGTAAGCCAAAGCACACCAACGCAGCTACAGGCACGAGCAGAACCACACATGCCAACAGAACCACAAATACACACGTTAACACAATCACACACAAGACAAACACACTCACAGACATCACCCGTTCCACAACTACAACCACCCGCACAAGCACACACACAGATGTCCTCTCCTGCACAGCCTTGCAAACAACCACACACTCAAACAGAGCCAGACATAGCCACACAATCACAGACACGCCCACACTCACCACTACATCCAGAGCCTCAAACACAGTCATATAGTAAAACACAGCCACACACACAAACACTCCTGCAACCACACACACAACCACACACTCCACCCCAAACAGAAACTCCAACACACCCACACTCACAGCCACACACAAAACCACAACTGCACATACAACCACAGCTACTCGTACAACCACAGATATCAGCACAAGCAGAGACATCAACACTAACACACCCACACACGCACGCACAACCACATAAGCACCCACACGTACCTGCAGCCTCGCCAGATCCCACCCAGCTCACCCTACACACACAGGGGTCACGCGCTGCCCTGACCCCACAGCCCCCTCACTCAACCCCTGGCCTCAGCCCTGCCCACAGCCTTGCCCCTAGCTCAGCCGCTGACCCTGACCTCACACCTTCCCCGACCTCTATCCATGCCCCCAGCCTTGCTCCTAATTATGAACTTGAACATTCACCTGCCCCTGCCCCTGCCCACGCTCCCGGGTCTCACGTCTCTCTGGAGCCGCCCAGCGCCCCCCCTCCTTCTGGGAACCCCTTCCTGTCGTCCCGACTCCCTCAGTCAGACGGCTCCCCCGAGGACCCCCTTTCTGATCCATCCTCTCCGCGTGGGCTCCCTACCTCGGAGGGGGAGCCCCCCTTGCCTGCCAGTGTCGTCCCCGGCGTTCCCGTGTCCGTGGAGGCCCCAGCCAGACCCCTTCGGGGATCCCAAGGGGAGCTGCCCGCAGGGGTCTCCGGTGAAGAAACCTCCGCCACCGCAGGGGCCTCTCGCTCAGGGGGTCCTCGGAAGCGAGGGTCCGAGGTTGCGGACCCCCTCGGAGGGGGGAGACCTCGTGCCGAAAGCCCGGCAGAGGCGGCCGATGAAGATGCCGACCCCTGCGGGGCCCCGGGACTCCGCGGGGCACCCCTGGCGGTCCCCGAGGGGCCCCTGGAGACCCCTGCGGGACCCCTGGATGCCCCCGAACGACACCCCGATGGAAGGCTGAGCGTGGCACAGGAAGGTGCGGAGCGACTCGTGGAGGCCCCGGTCAAGGTAAGCAGAGGGGAGGGGGAGTGCATGCCCACTGTGTGCGTGAAGGCCTCACGTGTGTGTGTGTGAAGGCCCTGTGTGTGTGTGAAGGCTCTGTGTGTGTGTGTGAAGGCCCTGTGTGTGTGTGTGAAGACCCTGTGTGTGTGTGAAGACCCTGTGTGTGTGTGAAGGCCCTGTGTGTGTGAAGGCCCTGTGTGTGTGTGTGAAGGACCTGTGTATGTGTGTGAAGGCCCTGTGTGTGTGTGTGAAGGCCCTGTGTGTGTGTGAATTCCCTGTGTGTGCATGCAGGTTCTGTGTGTGTGCAGGCCCTGCTTGCGAAACGTGGACCCCTTTAAAGGAAAATCTGCTCCGGTTTGAAACATTCAGGCTGGACACAGTCCCATCGTCAGTGAGCTCCCCCAGCAGGAGAGGCTTATTGGCCGGGTCGTGAAGCCTGTATTCCCAGTTACCGCATGCCCAAGCAACTTGTGTCTGACTGGATAGAGGGGGATATGGTGCTGAGTGGACTTGCCAAAGACTGGAACCAGCGGTGTCAACATCGGCCTCTTTTGAGGAGGAGGCTCGTGAAGGACGCTGCTGGGGAGTTTGAGGCAGTCGCCCTCCAGCAACAGCGGGGCAGAGGAGTGGCGCTCACAACAACGAGCGGAGCGCCGGGAGGCTAAAACGCAGCGCGTTAGCACAGTGTTTAGTTTTTTGTGTGTGTTTAGTGTTGTTGTCCTACCCCCACAACTCCAATGAGCACGGTTGGCTACGTATGGTGCGAAAGAAGTTCAATATACATACGTAGAGTAGGGGACACAGGTGGTGTATCGGCCATTCATCTCAGTCAACCCATGGCACCTGGGTCTGTCCTGTGACACTTCACACGGCCTCAAAGTGCACCCAGCCTGGCACAAGCGATGTGGTGACGTAACAGCCACCGAGTGGCGAGTGGCGATCGTTATTGCTGTGTGTGAAGGCCCTGTGTGTGTGAAGGACCTGTGTGTGTGTGAAGGCCCTGTGTGTGTGAAGGGCCTGTGTGTGTGTGAAGGCCCTGTGTGTGTGTGAAGGGCCTGTGTGTGTGTGAAGGGCCTGTGTGTGTGTGATGGCCCTGTGTGTGTGTGAAGGCCCTGTGTGTGTGAAGGCCCTGTGTGTGTGAAGGTCCTGTGTGTGTGTGAAGGCCCTGTGTGTGTGAAGGCCCTGTGTGTGTGTGAAGGCCCTGTGTGTGTGAAGGGCCTGTGTGTGTGAAGGCCCTGTGTGTGTGTGTGAAGGCCCTGTGTGTGTGAAGGGCCTGTGTGTGTGAAGGCCCTGTGTGTGTGTGTGAAGGCCCTGTGTGTGTGAAGGCCCTGTGTGTGTGAAGGCCTTGTATGTGTGAAGGCCCTGTGTGTGTGAAGGCCCTGTGTGTGTGAAGGCCCTGTGTGTGTGAAGGCCCTGTGTGTGTGAAGGCCCTGTGTGTGTGAAGGCCTTGTATGTGTGAAGGCCCTGTGTGTGTGAAGGCCCTGTGTGTGTGAAGGCCCTGTGTGTGTGTGAAGGGCCTGTTTGTATGTGAAGGCCATGTGTGTGTGAAGGCCTTGTGTGTGTGAAGGCCCTGTGTGTGTGTGTGAAGGGCCTGTGTGTATGTCAAGGCCATGTGTGTGTGAAGGCCTTGTGTGTGTGAAGGCCTTGTGTGTGTGAAGGCCCTCTGTGTGTGAAGGCCATGTGTGTGTGTGTGAAGGACCTGTGTGTGTGTGAAGGGCCTGTGTGTGTGAAGGGCCTGTGTGTGTGTGAAGGCCCTGTGTGTGAATTTCATCATCGCTTGCTGCTGGAGTTGGCATCGTCCCCCACTCCTGATGTCGAGGGGAAATGGGCGAGGTTTAGGACTGTGACTCATGCAGCTGCAATGGCCGCTTTGGGTACACGGTCCAGACCTCCCCAGAGACCCTGGCTGACAGAGGAGGTGTTCAGGATGAGAAAAAGTGACAGGCCCACTCTCATCATCTACAGCATCCCACGTCAGAGAATCAGGAGGCTTACCGCAGCCATTGCTCGCAGGTTCGGAGAGCCGTGAGGTGCTGCATAGATGGTTGTTGGTCGTGAGTTGCTGAGGAGATGGAGTCTGCCTCAATGGTCCGCGATGACAAATCGCTCTTTAATTCCATCAAAAAAGTAACCTGCAGTGCCACACCTATTACCATCAATCTCCGACCGCCAGGAACAGGTTTGCAGATTTGCTGAGCATTTCTGTGAGGTCCTGGGGGAGGGGAAATCCCTCAGCCTGGAAAACATCGTGGGACAAAGTGGGGATGACCCTGCTGAGGTGCCTCAAATATTGGAAGAAGTCACCCCCTGTGAGTGGCTGGCTGAGGTGCCATCTGTTGAGGAAGTACTGAAGGCGACCCAGAGCCTGAGACCAGGAACGGCGCCGGGCAGAGATTATCTCCCAAATGAAATGCTGAGGGAGGGTGGCGTTTGTGCACAGACTCCCCTACATGACATTATAATAACAGTCTGCACCACTGGATGGGTTCCGCAGGATTGGAAGGATGCCCTGGTGGACACTTCACGTGGCCTCAACGTGCACAAAGAAGCGTCGTGGTGACGTCACCGCCACTTAGTGGCAAATGGGGGTTGTTGTGTGTGTGTGAAAGCCCTGTATGTGTTCTTGTGCCTCTCCAGCCCACCAGCCCCAAGCCTCCGGTTCCGGCCACACGCAACTCGACCCTGTGTGACGGAGAGCTCCTGCATCAGACCCTGGCGCGCGGGCCCCCGGGTGGGCCCCCGAGCGAGCCCCCAGGTCCCCCTGGGCCCGCGGAAGGCCCCGGCGAGCCGGGAGGGTCGTGCGACGAGGAGGCGGCAGACAGCGGCGTGAGCAGCCAATCCCAGACGAGCCTCAACGCGGGGGAGGAGCGACGCCACGAGGTGAGGCCCCGCCACGGGAATGTGGAGTTTACACAGCCTCTGGCTCGGGGTCCCCGGAGAGCGCCGTGGGGGATAAGGGGGCGGGGTGGGGCTGGTGTCTAGCAGGTAGAGCTAGTGCTAGTGTCTAGGTCGGTAGGGATAGTGTTTGACTCGGACTGTAGGGTTAGAGCTAGTGCTAGTGTCTGGGTCAGTCTGGGTATGGCTAGTGTTTGACTCAGAGGGTAGGGTTATAGTTAGTATTTTAAAGATAAAACTATTTTTATTTTACCAGGTAAGGCCCACTAAGCTTTGTATCTCTTTTTCAGGAGCGACCTGGCTATCACAAATGATAGCTCAACAAAGTGGCTTATCTTGTGGATATTTATCGCTGCCAAATACTCTAAACACATGCTTCTAAATGTGAAGGGAAAAACCGGAGTACCCGGAGAAAAATCCACCTGATCATGAGGAGAACATGCAAACTCCAAATATACAGCAGGCGTCAGGGTCAGGATCGAACCCACAACCTCCTGTATACCAGGCGAGGGAGTAAACACATTGGCCCCGCAGTGGGTTAGGGTTAGTGTTTGCCTAGTACGGTAGGGTTATAGCGAGTACGAGTGGCTAGTTTAGTAGAGGTAGGGGAAGGGCAAGTGGCTACTGCGCTCTGCCCCCAGTCCGCTGGCCCCTTCTCCCCACGACACCCCCGTGTTGACCTGCGCAGCAGACGGCCACGTCACCCCCTTTGACGTGCAATGGAATAGTCCAGCGCCTCCATCCCTTGCACGGCACTGGCCCCGCGTGCTCGCCTACCCCCGCCCCCCTGACCCTGCACAGCCCCCAATGGACTCTTCCGTGCCTGTCCTTGCCCAGGACCCTGAGCCCAGATCCCGGGGTCCCCAAGGGGCGGCCCAAGGGGCGGCCCCGATGGACGGCGCGGGCGACTGCCGGGGGGTGGCTCCGCGCTCCCGCCAGCCGCCCCCCCCTCGCGGACCCCGCCCCGTCTCCATGGTGACATGGCAGCGTGTGGCGACCGAAGCGCCGGAGGCGACGGCGGAGACGAGAACGGAGGAGACGACGACGGATGAGACGGCGGAGACGGCGGAGACGCAGGCGAGACACGGGGCGCCTCGCAGGAGGAGGAGACCCCTCTCCGTCATGGGGATCCTGAGGCTTGGGACCGAGCAGAATAAGCAGGTGTGGAGACACGCGTGAGACACCTGGGGGGGGGGGGGACGTGAGACACACGTGTCTCCCAGGTGTCTCCCAGGTGTCTCCCAGATGCACGTGAGACAACTCCCAGACACTTAAGAAACACAGGAGACACATCTGAGACACTTAAGACACCTGAGACACAGGAGACACACCTGAGACACATAAGAGACACAGGAGAGACACCTGAGACACCTGAGACACCTTGGAGACACAGGAGACACACCTTGGAGACACAGGAGACACACCTGAGAGACAGGAGACACACCTGAGACACATGAGAGACACCTGAGACACACCTGAGACACAGGAGAGACACAGGAGAGACGCTTGAGACACACCTGAGACACACCTGAGACACAGGAGACACACCTGAGAGACACAGGAGACACACCTGAGACACAGGAGAGACAGCTGAGACACACCTGAGACACAGAAGACACACCTGAGACACACCTGAGACACACCTGAGACACAGGAGACACACCTGAGACACAGGAGAGACACCTGAGGCACAGGAGAGACACCTGAGACACACATGAGACACACCTGAGACACAGGAGAGACACAGGAGAGACACCTGAGACACAGGAGAGACACCTGAGACACACATGAGACACAGGAGAGACACAGGAGAGACACCTGAGACACAGGAGACACACCTGAGACACAGGAGAGACACAGGAGAGACACAGGAGAGACAGCTGAGACACATGAGAGACACACCTGAGACACAGGAGAGACACCTGAGACGCATGAGACACAGGAGAGACACAGGAGACACACCTGAGACACAGGAGAGACAGATGAGACACAGGAGAGACACCTGAGACACAGGAGAGACAGATGAGACACAGGAGACACACCTGAGACACAGGAGAGACAGATGAGACACAGGAGAGACACACCTGAGACACCTGAGACACACCTGAGACACAGGAGAGACAGCTGAGACACAGGAGACACACCTGGGACACCTTGGAAACACAGGAGACACACCTTGGAGACACAGGAGACACACCTGAGACACATGAGAGACAGGAGACACACCTGAGACACAGGAGACACACCTGAAACACCTTGGAGACACACCTGAGACACACCTGGGAGACAGGAGACACACCTGAGACACTTGAGAGACACAGGAGACACACCTTGGAGCCACCTGAGAGACACAAGAGACACACCTGAGACACATGAGATACACCTGAGACACCTGAGAGACACACCTGAGACACAGGAGACACATGAGAGACAGGAGACACAGGAGACACACCTTGGAGACACCTGAGACACCTGAGAGACACACCTGAGACACAGGAGACACACCTGAGAGACACACCTGAGACAGAGGAGACACACATGAGAGACACACCTGAGACACAGGAGACACACCTGAGAGACACACCTGAGACAGAGGAGACACACCTGAGAGACACACCTGAGACACCTGAGAGACACAAGAGACAGACCTGAGACACATGAGACACACCTGAGACACCTCAGAGACACACCTGAGACACAGGAGACACATGAGAGACAGGAGACACAGGAGACACACCTGAGAGACACAAGAGACACACCTGAGACACATGAGAGACACCTGAGACACAGGACACACATGAGAGACAGGAGACACAGGAGACACACCTTGGAGACACCTGAGAGACACCTGAGAGACACACCTGAGACACAGGAGACACACCTGAGAGACACACCTGAGACAGAGGAGACACACCTGAGAGACACACCTGAGACACCTGAGAGACACCAGGGACGCCAGTGTCTGCGACAGCCCCTCCCCTCACACCCCCCGTCCCCCCCTCCCAACCCCCCTCAGAAGCGCCCCCCGCCCCTCCCGGACCTGGGGCCCCCCAGGGTTCAGCTGCGGCCCTCCAAGAGCACCCCCTCCCAGCTGGACCGCATGGGCCGGCGGCGGCGCCACACCTACGGTGAGAGTGCCACCACCACCGCCGCCACCACCACCACCGTCACCGCCGCCACCACCACCACCACCGTCACCGCCTCCACCACCACCACCACTGCCACCACCACCACCGCCACCACCACCGCCGCCGCCACCACCACCACCGTCACCACCACCACCACCGTCACCGCCTCCACCACCACCACCACTGCCACCACCACCACCGCCGCCACCACCACCACTGCCGCCACCACCACCACCACCGTCACCGCCACCACCACCGTCACCGCCGCCACCACCACCACCACCGTCACCGCCTCCACCACCACCACCACTGCCACCACCACCACCGTCACCACCACCGCCGCCGCCACCACCACCACCGTCACCGCCGCCACCACCGCCACCGCCTCCACCACCACCGCCGCCGCCACCGCCTCCACCATCTGCCGCACAGGGCTTGCACGCCACGGTAGAACGACCATGACGGCAGTGTGACTCCCACTCCCAGGGTTAGCGTCAGGGTCAGGGGTCACACCCCCCAGGGTCAGTATACGGAATGATGCAAGGTTTGCTGACCGGGGAGTTAAGCGAGAGTTTGCGGTCTCACTCGCGCACAGTCACGCACGCACAGTCACGCACACACATGCACGCACACACAAACTCACGCACACACAAACTCACGCACACACATGCACGCACACACAAACTCGCGCACACACAAACTCACGCACACACAAACTCACGCGCACACAAACTCACGCACACACACGCGCAGTCACGCATGCTGTCACGCACACACAAACTCTCGCACACACACGCACAGTCACGCACGCTCACGCCGGACCACCGGTATCGCTGTTGGTACTGGCTTCAAGGTGGCCAGGAGATGGCAGCGGCAGCAAGGGATTGTTAAGTCCATCCGTGTGGACCCTTGACTGTCACCCCCTCATGCACAGCGTAGTGGGAATCTCCGGATTCTTTTGGTTTCTCCGCGACGAAGCCATAGAGACCCACAGAGACCCATGGACTAACATAAAGACTCACAAAAACCCATATTCTCACATAGAGACCCACAGAGACCCATGGACTCACATAAAGACTCGCAAAGACCCATATTCTCACATAGAGACCCACAGAGACCCATGGACTCACGTAAAGACTCGGAAAGACCCATAGACTCACATAGAGACCCACAGAGACACATAAGTCTCCCATAGAGACCCACAGAGACCCATAGACTCCCATAGAGACCCACAGAGACCCATAGACTCCCATAGAGACCCACAGAGACCCGTAGACTCACAAAGACCTATAGACTCATATAAATACCCACAGAGACCCATAGACTCACATAGAGAACCACAAAGACACATAGACTTACTTAGAGACCCACAGAGACCCATAGACTCACATAGAGACCCACAGAGACCCATAAACTCACATAGAGACCCACAGAGACCTATAGACTCACATAGAGACCCACAAAGACACATATACTTACTTAGAGACCCACAGAGACCCATAAACTCACATAGCGACTCACAGAGACACATAGACTTACTTAGAGACCCATAGACTCACATAGAGACCCACAGAGACACATAGACTCCCATAGAGACCCACAGAGACCAATAGACTCACATAGAGACCCACAGAGACACATAGACTCCCATAGAGACCCACAGGGACCCATAGACTCACAAAGACCTATAGACTCATATAAATACCCACAGAGACCCATAGACTCACATAGAGAACCACAAAGACACATAGACTTACTTAGAGACCCACAGAGACCCATAGACTCACAAAGCGACTCACAGAGACACAGACTTACTTAGAGACCCACAGAGACCCATAGACTCACATAGAGACCCACAGAGACACATAGACTCCCATAGAGACCCACAGAGACCCATAGACTCACAAAGACCTATAGACTCATATAAATACCCACAGAGACCCATAGACTCACATAGAGAACCACAAAGACACATAGACTTACTTAGAGACCCACAGAGACCCATAGACTCACAAAGTGACTCACAGAGACACAGACTTACTTAGAGACCCACAGAGACCCATAGACTCACATAGAGACCCACAGAGAACCATAAACTCACATAGAGACCCACAGAGACCCATAGACTCACATAGAGACCCACAAAGACACATATACTTACTTAGAGACCCACAGAGACCCATAGACTCACAAAGCGACTCACAGAGACACATAGACTTACTTAGAGACCCACAGAGACCCATAGACTCACATAGAGACCCACAGAGAACCATAAACTCACATAGAGACCCACCGAGACCCATAGACTCACATAGCGACTTACAGAGACCCACATTCATGGCTTTTATGGCCAAACACCCCAATGCAGCAGCACCGTCTTGAGTGTGAGTCTTGAGCCTCGGCTACCCTGGGTCAAGAGTTACACATTGGGGATGAGTGTGGTGGCCCAGCCTGATGGTTATTATGGTTGAGGTGGCGACGGTGATGATGGGGATGGTAGTGTTAGTGGTTATGATGGTAGTGTTAGTGGTGATGATGATGGTGGTAGTGTTAGTGGTGATGATGATGGTAGTGTTAGTGGTGATGATGGTAGTGTTAGTGGTGATGATGATGGTAGTGTTAGTGGTGATGATGGTAGTGGTGATGATGGTAGTGTTAGTGGTGATGATGGTAGTGTTAGTGGTGATGATGGTAATGGTAGTGGTCATGATGATGGTAGTGGTAGTGGTGATGATGGTAGTGGTAGTGATGATGATGATGATGGTAGTGGTGATGATGGTAGTGGTAGTGTTAGTGGTGATGATGATGATGGTAGTGGTGATGATGATGGTAGTGTTAGTGGTGATGATGGTAGTGTTAGTGGTGATGATGATGGTAGTGTTTGTGGTGGTGGTGATGATGATGATGGTAGTGTTAGTGGTGATGATGGTAGTGGTGATGATGGTAGTGTTAGTGGTGATGATGGTAGTGTTAGTAGTGATGATGATGATGGTAGTGTTAGGGTGAGTGTGGGGTGAGTGTAGGGTGAGTGTGGGGTGAGTTTGGGGTGAGTGTGGGGTGAGTGTAGGGAGAGTGTGGGGTGAGTTTGGGGAGAGTGTGGGGTGAGTTTGGGGTGAGTGTAGGGTGAGTTTGCGGAAAGTGTGGGGTGAGTGTAGGGTGAGTGTGGGGTGAGTTTGGGGTGAGTGTAGGGAGAGTTTGGGGTGAGTTTGGGGAGAGTGTGGGGTGAGTGTGGGGTGAGTGTGGGGTGAGTTTGGGGTGAGTGTGGGGTGAGTGTAGGGAGAGTGTGGGGTGAGTTTGGGGTGAGTGTGGGGTGAGTTTGGGGTGAGTTTGAGGAGAGTGTAGGGTGAGTGTGGGGTGAGTTTGGGGTGAGTGTGGGGTGAGTGTAGGGTGAGTTTTGGGTGAGTGTGGGGTGAGTGTGGGGTGAGTGTGGGGTGAGTTTGGGGAGTGTGTGGGGTGAGTGTAGGGTGAGTTTTGGGTGAGTGTGGGGTGAGTGTGGGGTGAGTGTGGGGTGAGTTTGGGGAGAGTGTGGGGTGAGTGTAGGGTGAGTGTGGGGTGAATGTAGGGTGGGTTTGGGGTGAGTGTGGGGTGAGTTTGCGGAGAGTGTGGGGTGAGTGTAGGGTAAGTGTGGGGTGAGTTTGGGGTGAGTTTGGGGTGAGTTTGGGGTGAGTTTTCTGAGAGTGTGGGGTGAGTGTGGGGCGAGTGTGGGGTGAGTGTTGGGAGAGTTTGAGGAGAGTGTGGGGTGAGTGTGGGGTGAGTGTAGGGTGAGTTTGGGGTGAGTTTGGGGAGAGTGTGGGGTGAGTGTAGGGTGAGTGTGGGGTGAGTTTGGGGTGAGTGTGGGGTGAGTGTAGGGAGAGTGTGGGGTGAGTTTGGGGAGAGTGTGGGGTGAGTTTGGGGTGAGATTGGGGTGAGTGTGGGGTGAGTGTAGGGTGAGGTTGGGGTGAGTTTTGGGTGAGTATGGGGTGAGTGTGGGGTGAGTGTGGGCTGAGTTTGGGGTGAGTGTGGGGTGAGTGTAGGGAGAGTGTAGGGTGAGGTTGGGGTGAGTTTTGGGTGAGTATGGGGTCAGTTTGGGATGAGTGTGGAGTGAGTGTAGGGAGAGTGTGAGGTGAGTTTTGGGGTGAGTTTGGGGAGAGTTTGGGGTGAGTGTAAGGTGAGTTTGGGGTGAGTTTGGGGGGAGTGTGGGGTGAGTGTAGGGTGAGTGTGGGGTGAGTGTAGGGTGAGTTTGGGGAGAGTTTGGGGTGAGTGTAAGGTGAGTTTGGGGTGAGTTTGGGGGGAGTGTGGGGTGAGTGTAGGGTGAGTGTGGGGTAAGTGTGGGGTGAGTGTAGGGGGAGTTTGGGGATAGTTTGGGGTGAGTGTAAGGTGAGTTTGGGGTGAGTGAGTGTGGGGTGAGTTTGGGGAGAGTGTGGGGTGAGTTTGGGGAGAGTTTGGGGAGAGTGTGGCGTGAGTGTTGGGAGAGTGTGGGGAGAGTGTGGGGTGAGTGTGGGGTGAGTGTGGGGTGAGTGTTGGGAGAGTTTGACGAGAGTGTGGGGTGAGTGTGGGGTGAGTGTGGGGTGAGTGTAGGGTGAGTTTGGGGTGAGTTTGGGGAGAGTGTGGGGTGAGTGTAGGGTGAGTTTGGGGTGAGAGTGGGGAGTGTAGGGAGAGTGTGGGGTGAGTTTGGGGAGAGTGTGGGGTGAGTTTGGGGTGAGATTGGGGTTAGTGTGCGGTGAGTGTAGGGTGAGGTTGGGGTGAGTTTTGGGTGAGTATGGGGTGAGTGTGGGGTGAGTGTGGGGTGAGTTTGGGGTGAGTGTGGGGTGCGTGTAGGGAGAGTGTAGGGTGAGGTTGGGGTGAGTTTTGGGTGAGTATGGGGTCAGTTTGGGATGAGTGTGGGGTGAGTGTAGGGAGAGTGTGAGGTGAGTTTGGGGAGAGTGTGGGGTGAGTGTGGGGTGAGTTTGGGGTGAGTGTGGGGTGAGTGTGGGGTGAGTGTAGGGAGAGTGTGGGGTGAGTTTGGGGAGAGTGTAGGGTGA